TCAGGATTCTTCAAACGCGTTGGGGTAGGGCAGTACGTGTCTTGCCTTGCGATGGTCCATCGCCGATGGGGAAGCCGCATTTGGTAAAGTTGTTCATCAGGGGAAGAGGGGCCAAAGTCCGAACCGTTGACACAATGACGATATTACGACCGCCGACGAGGGTCGCCTTAGGTATTATTCCGGGACCGAGCTAAGGTGGGAGGTGTATATGATCAACATATTCAATACCGTTGGTATTCATTTATTTTTAACTGTTGTATGGTTTTACAAGGTATCATAAATAAAGTCGCTGGATTTCGACGTCATTGATATAGGCAACACATTGAAGATGATCAAAAGGATTAAAGAAATCAAGCTTGTTTCCATTGCAAGTGCGTTTCCTTTCCTTTTTGGCTGGCAGCTGCTAACTTTGGGATTAGAAGCGATTGCGTGATGTTTTGTCGCATCCTCCTGAGCATGGATGATTGTTTAAGCCGCTCAAAACTTTATGCAGGGCGGGGCACACAGGGCGTGGCAATGCCGTAGCCCTATGGCGATCATGCACCCTCCTGGAAAGGGCATGTCTTCTTAGTGGTTGCTATTTTTGTATTTTATGGACCCTTGGTAACGATGCCGGTTCCGAACAGGCACTTGTAATGAGCGACACTGTCAGATTGCGATGACGTACCAGCGAATAGTGATGTGATAGAGGGCATGTTAACCTCCTGAATGGCTGTATCAAGAAACGTTGATCAAGTGTTTATACAATATAAATACTAGAGGTTCGTCGTCAAAATGTTGGATAGAAAAGCCTACACACAAACAACACACAAAACAACAACAGGCAAGCTCTTAGCAATATTACCATTGAACGCAACCAACCATCCCCAAACTACGCGGTACCTTATTACTTGACAAAAAAAAAACCCCCACAAACAAAATGGCCCAATCAATCTTCAAAGCCGCCCTTCTTAGCGCCGTCCTCGCCACAGTCACAGCTTCACCCACACCAGCAACCCACACATTCGCCAAGCGTTGGGAAGAGGGCAAGGACTGTACCGCGGATGTCGTCAGCGACCACCCGGCAGGACTCTTCTTTGCCGTCGACAGCGAGGGTATCAATGCGTACTGTGACGACATCAACGACGACGTAAGCGCTGACAAGTAAGGTTTTTTTTTTTTTAAAAAAAATCCCAATCCAACAATCCAGCTGCAGGATAAAAAGAAAGAAAAAAAAAACTAACAACTCATCCAGCGGCTATACGTGCTATCAAACCAGCGAGAACGACGACGTGCTCGGCGACATGGTCAAGTGCCCCGGCGACCCAGCTCCCAAGAAGAACCCCGACGGAAGTGACGCCGCGGAAGTGGCCGGGGGCATCATTGGCGCTTGGTGCGCCGCCGGCGGCAGTCTCCCAACCCCGCTTGGTGAATTCGCCAGCATCGTCGGCTGTCTTCAGTACGGCTTCTACGAGGCGCACGGAGATCCGGCCAAGGAAGCCGAAACCGGCGCCAAGGGCGTCTGCAACACCATCTTTGCCGGCGCATGCACCTGGTTCTTCGATGTCGCTCCCGACATCTCCGAAAGCATGTGTGATCCCTGCGAAGATGATCCCGAGAGTATCGCGTGCACTTTCGGCGGCCCTAGTAAATAAGGGTCCCGTTACCGGTACCAGTAGTTTACAGCGGATTGCACTTCCTGTTGGTGTTATATTGTTGTCATATTGTTGTAAGAGTCGGTAGTGTTGGATAGTATTGTGTACGAGTACTGGCTTTGGAATACATGTGTAACGTATACTTTGTACTATAAATAGCGGGCCTAGCAAATTACTGATTTCCATCTTCTCCTATGACCTCTCTCGCTTTCTCATACGTACATGAAAGGGACTACTACCATTGATCCCTAGTTACTCATCAGACTGATGGTACATCATCATGATAATGATTTCTGCCAATACATGAAATTTCCCATGACCTTTTACTCCCTTCTTAACTACCAAATTGCAATAGTCACACAAAGCCGCTATTGGCGGCGGTTTTCGATATGAATGTTGAGGAGATTCCGGATGGGAGTCATCTAGGTTAAGGACCAAGCGTTGGGCTGGATTAAGTGTTGCGGTGTTCATGGCTGATATTGCAGTGTATTATTTGGATGTCTCTGGGCTGGCTTGGATGGTTTGGCAGAGGGTCAAGAAGGCTTTGGTGGTATGGACTGGGTGGATAAAGGGGGTTAGGGTTAGGGGTAAGAGAAAATGGCGTTTTCCATAGTGCATTAGGGGTGGCATTTATACCCGTTTAGTGATAAGCTTAGTATTTTGATGTTTCAGGTGTTCAACTGTAGCTGTAAATGTGTATCTAGGAAGTAGGTAAAGTACCTAACTAGTATAATCAGAGTTCACGAGAAGAGATATTAAGAAGAAAATACGAGTTTGCCCCTTGGTTGGAAAGGCTACCCTACACAGGTAGCTAACGGATACTTGTCTAGGTACATTAACATGTTAAAGCCAGGTTAACCGTCTTCATCGTTACGTATACCGGCTTCGATGCCATTCTGAAAGTCTATAGGGACCAGTGTAAGTTCCATCTAGGCCTTCTCCGTAACCCCGTCATATGTCATTTGTAGACACCAAGTTAATTTACACATATAAGCAGAGACGACAAACCTTGTCGGAACGTGTAGAATCTTAAACGTTCTTGGTTCCTGATCCCAAATATATCGAGATATTTGTGTGTCTTTTTGCGTACTCATCATTCTAGGTCCTCGCCTATACCTGTCCCAGCACCACATTGGATTGCGAAGCCCTTTTCGGGGGATCGAGCGAGGTAAGCGTACCCGTGTTAAGCCCTGATTCACTCGGCGAAATTGCCGAAGTATTTGTGCGGAACAGCCAGCTGTCGGTTCTCTTCTTCTCCCTGGGCGCCATTTCCACCGGTATCCCAATCGAGACCGGTTCCGGCTTCTTCTCCCGACAAAAGGCCGAGGGCACGCTCGGCACGCAGAGGATCAGTATCGCCACCGTTATCTCCGCCGTGGCCCATAGACTGATGGCGGAGAAATGGTACGTCATGTCGCCTGTGGAGATCCATCGGAAGAGCGCTTGGATGCGCAGGGCGACGGTGATGACGCCGCTGTTTATTTGTTTTTTTCTTGGTGTTAGTTTGTGTCCCATCTGTATTGCTTTGGAATATATGTAAGTAAGTAGGTAGTAGGTAGATACTCACCCAATCCCTATAGCGAACATGGCCGAGACGGCAACCTTTCTTCGTCTCAAGATATTCAATTTCCAAACCACTCTTTGCGGGACAGCTAGGATGGCGAGGTCTAGGACTAGATTGATAACCGCGCTTATGAGGTGGATGGCCTTGATATCGATGCAATGACCCGGTACGGTCTTGTCCCAGATCCGTCGGTGGGGGGTACAGGCGAGGTTCATTGCCACCAGGACCGAGGTGTAGAAGGTGATGTGTACGGCCATCATGGCGTAGCAGGTCCAGTAGAAGCGATTGCGGACTCCCCGGGGCACGAATAGATGGAGCCATTCTATCAGGATGGCTGTCTTGAATAAGAGGATGGAGGCGCCGTAGAATATCGTTCCAACCTGGGTGAGCTTTTGTTTTTTTTTTCGTTATTACTTTTTGTCGGAACGACCGTGGACTCTCGATTCCTCTTCCGCAGCGCTTGAGTAGAAGAAATAAGAACTTACAAAAAGGTAACTGTACATATCCCGATTTCGTTGATCCCACTGATGAACAAAGAGTCCAGGCCCCCAAGCTATTCTCTTGAATGAACCTTCAATCACAAGGATGAAGAGTCCCTGCCACCCCTGTCAGTGCCGACATCTCATTTGGATCACTCTGACCTAGCTACCATAAGGTATTGAATATACTAGGACTTACAAACGCAGGGATGATGAGATCTGAACACAATTAGTTAGTTCAACCTTCGTCAGACGTGTTCGACTCGGACGACCTACAATCTCCCACATGTGCCGTCCTCGTCTTGCAAAACTTGACATATAACCTGATTATAACCGTCACCAAGGTCAAGGAAAGACACAGGACGAGCGTGAATATGTACACGGCATCCTCGTTCGGCGGATGATCAAAGTTGGGTGTGACGCCCTCTGGCGGGCTGAGGGCCGGTTCATCGAGAACTGCCTGGAGCTGGTCGGCCGGGACAGTCGAGAAGTCGAGATCAGACATTGTACGACCTTGGACTTGAAATTGTGGAAAGGATGGGGAAGGTTGGATCCCTACAATAGGGGAAACGAGACAAAGGGTATGAAGTATATCCTGGTGTATAGGTGCGGTCATGTGACAGGTTCGGAGACAAAGAGATGGGGAATCGTATATTTGCGAACAATGAAGAGACTCGATTAGATTTGGGTCCCGGTGTCATTATTAGTTGTCTATGGACGTTTCTTTGCACCTTGCCGAGCCAGTATGTACTAGGTCTTCCGTTCGATTTCAGCTCCTCCTCTCCCTTCCTCGACATCTCGAAATCCCCCATGGACCATCCAGGATTAGAAACGTCTACCAATAGTAAAGATAGCCAGCTCGATCAAATATCATGGTGACGACGGTAGTCCGCCCATCTCATAGCCGGTGGGTAACTAAGTAAAGTAGTCCACTCCCGTTCAAACACGTAATAAACGACCAATACTTGGAAACCACGATAAAACTCTTTGGGTTCGGGTACTGGGGAGTACAGCAGTCGTGGAGAGAAATGCGCATTATCAGTATAGCCTCGCGCAAAGGAATCACGTTGCCCTATAGCGGAGCTCAAGCTAAAAGGAAAGGCAATGCCCCTACATTACTGCTTACCGTCGTACATGTAGCTGCATGGTCCGAGTTGCTCGAATGCTAAACCATTATGTACTTATCACGGGAGATGTCCATGTGCAAGTGAAAGAGGCTAGACATCCTTAAGACATCCTTAAGACATCAAGCCGAATCTCTTGTCAAGAATCGGAGACAAGGTTCTAAACCCCGTCGACTTTGCATCACGTACAGCATTACCAGCCCTGGTAGCTCAATTGGTTAGAGCGTCGGACTTTTATAGCTTTTCCTGGCTATAAGGCATCCGAAGGCTGCGGGTTCGACCCCCGCCTGGGGCGTTTAGGACGACGAGGAGTCTTCAAAAAGGGGTTGAGAGTCTTTTTACTTTTTGTTTATTTTATTAAAGCACGTTTGTAATACCTGAATGGGACATAGCACCGACCAGATACGCCAGGTTAAACCTATTAAGAAAGTGGGCAAGTGCAACTACCTTACCGTCCTCGTTGGTAGAGGCAATCCATGCCGTCTTCCTTGCAAAAGGTCCGCCCTATAACGTTAGATGGACGGAATCCCTGGAGCGTTCAATCTCGTCAACTGATTACCCCTTGAAGCGGTAGCTATCGTTGCAGCTGGTGTTTGCAAACCAATAAGCGCTACATTCGGACACAGCGGCGGTTGGAAATCATTTCTGTATCGCTAAGTGTGGTCTTACGGTTGGACTGAATTGAATGCATTCTTCCCTTGGCTGCAAACGATGGCCAAATATCGATGGAGGAATGGCAGCGCGGCTGAGCATTTGGAGCCGTCGCCAGGCACTCGGTTACAGTCCCAGCTGCCCTGGTAGAGTTGGTAGTAAAAGCAGCGTGGAGAAACTATTGGAGAGGTCGCCCTCAGTAACAACAACTGAGCACAGAATGGTCCTGAGTCCTACCTAACCCTACTTGTAATCTCTCTCACTCGTCTCGCACAAAAGCTGCCACTGGAGAGCTACTCCTTGGAGCTATTGTAACCTCCATAATATCGCTAGTTAGACTGTGTTAGGCCAGAACTTTCAGGTCAGGATTGCAACTCTATGCTTTTGTCCAGTAGCTGAACTTACAGATAGAGGGAATATATGTTGGCAAAGGCATACCGGTATTACGCATGCATGTTTTCATACACGTACTGCCTTCACGATGGCCCCAATCTGGAGACGAAGATCACGTAAATTTCAGCTGAATCTAAATAATCAGGGACAGGTTAAATCGATTCACAGCTTGTACGCGTATCATTATGGCATACTGTCTGTAATCTACAGTATTATCGCTCTATCACACTGTGTATAACTGATGCAAAAATTACTACAATGACGTGTAGTTTGGTAGTAAACTGAGTACATAGGTACTCAGTTGTCTTTTATTTTGCGTCTGCAATATAAAGACATCTCTCTTAGTCTCATCTTGACGACTCACATATTGTGCTATTCTATCTTTGCAATGGTGAAAACGGACAATATGGTTGATAGCAGAGCGCCATCCAAATGCGCAATCTACTCATGATCACACCTTCCACACTTTCCGCCCACGTCATGACAACCCCGAAACAAGCCTGCTCCACTGAAAAGTCGGCCTGCACCTCCCAAAATCGTAGGTAGGATTCTGTTTTCCAGAAAACTTCTTAAACATTGGGATCTTGAGGACTGCGCGCGTATGATTTCAGTCGGCCCAAAGTTATCAGAATGCCCTGATCTACTAACTATCTCTCTGTCGGTTTGTGGTTTAATTTCTTCCATCTTAACCTCCCGACACTTCTATGGATGCTACGAAGCAAGCACAACAGAGCGGTCTTGGTTACCTAACCTAGGTAGGTAGGTTAATACACGCAATAAATACAGGTCCGATTCAGGATACCTAACTTATATGCGTGTCTGTGTGTGTGTGTGTTGGGTGACTACGAGTATGCATGTCCGCTGTAAGTTTTAGCTCGATATGGATGAATTTTTTCCTGATGTGGTGCTCCTCGGGAATAAATGCCGGTGACAAAGGCGGGCCACTTATGTCCGCGTGACCCGCCGCACTTATCTTCAACACTCCAAGAGCAAGATTGTATGTATTGGACGAGGGAGTCTATCCAGACGTTGTTTGGATCTAATGTCGTAATTATACCTTTCTCCCCTGTCTCCTTTCTTTTTATCTCTCATTTCTACTATCCTTATATTATCTTGTGTTTATTGCTCTGGTCGGCACAACATAAGTACTTATCTTTCACCCCCTTCAACCTAGAACCATGGCATCTGCCGGTTCAAGCCCGCCGTTTGTGTCAGGAACACACGAGCAAGAAAAAGCTAGTCACGATTCCGAACTCAGTGTCAGGGAAGACGCTGAAAGCACAGATAACGACGATGAGGGGGGACGAGACGTGGAGGAGACACTTTCGCGAGTCTCTTCAGGGCCCCCTTACACCGTCTTCTCACCTGGCATGAAAAGGTGGATCATTGCGATGAACTGTGTATCGGCCTTCGTCTCACCGATTACGGCGAACATATACTTCCCGGCGCTTCCCGCCTTGGCGCGGGACCTAGGTGTTGGCATAGATAGAATCAACCTAACTTTGACAACATATATGATCTTCCAGGGTCTAGCTCCAACCGTCTTTGGCGATTTAGGTGATGTCGCCGGGCGGAGACCAGCCTTCATCATTGCTTTCACCATCTATCTTGGCGCCAATATCGGCTTGGCCCTCCAGAGAGACTTTGCCGCCCTACTTGTCCTGCGAATGCTGCAGAGCAGCGGAAGCAGCGGGACGATCGCGCTAGTTTACGCTGTCGTGGCGGACATCGCCCCGAGTTCGGAGAGAGGTAAATGGATGGGGATCGTCGGTGCCGGCCTTACCATCGGGCCGGCCATTGGACCCGTGATTGGTGAGTCTGCTCCATTCCATTATTGGTCCGCTTCTGTCACGACCACGGCCTCCCGCCATTCTTCATGGAGGTGTTAATAACAACGATATAGTACGTATAGCTCGCTCACCTTTCAGCCCTACGAAGCTGTTCCTAACATCAAGTAGGGCGGTTTATTGAGTGCATATCTTGGCTGGCCATGGATATTCTGGTTTCTGGTCATCTTGACCACGGTATGGATCATCCCGTATATTTTAACCGTTCCAGAGACGGCACGTAAGGTTGTCGGGAATGGATCGATTCCCCCTCAGGGTTGGAATATGACCCTTATCGACTACTTGCGTTTCCGCAACCAGGCAAGGGATCGGCAGGGTGTCACCGGAAATCATAAGATACCGATCCCAAACCCCCTGAATACTTTGAGAGTGTTGCGTGATAAAGAGTAAGGTCCCTAGCATCCCTATTGCCACTCATATGAGGTGATTTCGAGGGGAAAACTACGTAAAAGGATTTTATCCTCCCCAGGACTCGCCAAAATACCAAAGTCCTTGACCGCAACAGGGCCTGGCATGGATGGCTGACTTCTTTCGTTCTGTAGGATGGCCATGATCCTGTTTTACAATGCTGCCCTTTACGTTTGCTTCATGACAGTGACGGCCACATTAGGCACCCAGTTGCAAGAAATTTATGGCTACGATCAGCTGACTACCGGACTGTTATACCTTCCTCTCGGGGCTGCGACGACCATCTCCTCCGTCGGGGGCGGATTCATCGCCGATTGGAACTTTCGGAGGATAGCTAAGCAGTTGGGGATCAAAGTCGACCGCAAACGAGGGAATGACAGTAAGTACCTACTCACAAAGCCATCTTTCGTTTAGCCCGTCAGACGCGCAGACTAGGATGGAGCTGTAGGGGGGGAGTCCCTTGTTTCATTTCAGCATTCAAATCCGGAGATTACTGTCGCTAATGCCATTATAGTGGCTGACTTCCCCGTGGAGAAGGCGCGGATACAGCTGATTGCTCCACTCCTATTCGTAGGGACAGGAGCTAGTATCGGGTATGGCTGGTCTCTCGAGCGCCAAGTGAGCGTTGCAGTGCCTCTAGTCTTGTCCTTTTTCGTAGGGTTGTGCGTCACGGGGCCATTCCAGATCCTCAATCTGCTACTCATCGACTCGTATCCCGAGGCTCCGGCCACGGCCACGGCTGCTAACAACCTGGTCCGGTGCTTGGCGGGCGCCGGCGCAACAGCGGCCGTGGAACCGATTATCCGGGCAATAGGTAGGGGCTGGGCTTTCACGATATTTGCTCTGATATTCACGATTCCATCCCCCATGCTTTGGATCATAGTGAAACGGGGGCCGGAGTGGAGGAGAGAACGTATTGAGCGAATGCGGAAAAAGGAAGAGAAGCAAAAGGTTGAGATTATTAGCAACGAAGAACTTTCCCCGCCAATAGACAGCAGCAGCGAGAAAAAGTCGGGCGCCGACCGGTGATGATGAAGTTGTTTTAATCCCATCCATAGAATTAGATGAACGTATATCCATATGTCGGTAGATATAATTCTCGAGAAATATCCAAGTTGTTGTTCACTATCTACCTCTAGGGGGCCATTGCAAGTTCAACCGAGGTAGACTGCTTGCTACCTATCACTAGACCCTAGAGAGTTAGCATCTATACATCACAATGTCACTTACTGTACAACTTCCCTTGTCAATTATGCAAAAACGAATGAGTCTTGAGAAGATGAATCGAAATCATTTCAGTCGTAAAAGCATAATCCCTTGTTTGCAATCAACAATGAGGTAGGACAACTCTTGTCCAGAGTTTTAATTACATGCAAAACATCCCTCGTCCCATTTATTAGTCGTAAAACAAACAGTGGTAACCGGCTCTAAGTCGGTTCACGGTCTGGGCATTCTGATATTCCTAGCCACTAGACGGGAATGCAGGTAGCGTACCTGACCCCACTACAACAACCGTCCCTCGGCAGATTCCTAACGGGGTAAGGTGTATCAAATATGCCACGAACATGTTGCAAAGCTGCCATTACCTGTGAAATAATGGTTGTCCTAGTTACCACGTGCGTTGTAGGGACAAGGGATTTGATTATATTGTGATATTATATCATCTCGTTTTACTAAACTTCCAAGTGAGACGCGCAGGTTCACAAGCTCTTACACGCAAGGAAACCGAACCCCGGAAAGAAAAACCCCCCTCTTCAGCCCCTAGGTAAAACCTTTGATGTGATAGGCGGAATCGGAATCGAGATGCCACTCCCGTCAGTCGAGGCGGTCAGAAAGGGACATGGCCGTCTCACATTCCAAGAGGCCATGAGACTTATCGCGCTGCCGGATAAGGTGGCCGACGATGGAAAGGTCATCAGACGGTACATGAGCCGGCGGAAAGTTTGGATCACCGGCGACGATCTCAAGCCGCTCGCGTATGAGATGGGGGCCAGGA